GGAGGTGATTGGTGACAGCCAACATGGCTTCACAAAGGGCAAATCGTGCCTGATAAATTTGGTGGCCTTCTACGATGGGGTTACAGCATTGGTGGACAAGGGAAGAGCAACTAATGTCATCTACCTGAACATGTTTGACACTGTCCTGCATGACATCTTTGTCTCTAAATTGGAGAGGCATGGATTTGGAGTGGATGGGCCACTTGGTGGGTAAGAAATTGGATGGTCACAGTGAAAGTGTTGCGGTCAATGCCTCAATGTCCAAGTGGAGACCAGTGATGAGTGGTGTTCCTCAGGGGCTGGTATTGGGACTGGAACTATTTAACATCTTTGTCGGCAACACGGACAGTGGGACCAAGTGCACTCTCAGCAAGTTTGCCGACAACCCCAAGTTGTGTGGTGCAGTTGACACGCCAGAGGGAAGGGATACCACCCAGAAGGACCTTGACAGACTTGACAGGGACATGCAAACTGCATGAAGTTGAAGGCCAAGTGCAAGGTCCTGCACATGGGTCAGGGCAAGCCCAAGCAAGGCTGGGCAGAGGATGGATTGAGAGCAGCCCTGAGGAGAAGGACTTGGGGGTGTTGGTGGATGAGCAGCTCAACATGAGCCAGCAATGTGCGCTTGCAGCCCTGAAAGCCGACCATATCCTGGGCTGCAACAAAAGAATTGTGACCAGCAGGTCGAGGGAGGTGATTCTCTCCTCCTACTCTGCTCTTGTGAGACCCCACCTGGAGTACTGCATCCAGCTCTGGGGGCCCTGGCATACAAAGGACAAGGACCTGTTGTAGTGAGTCCAGAGAAGGGCCACAAAGATGATCAAAGTACTGGAGCACCTCTCCTGTGAGGACAGGCTGAGAGAGTTGGGGTTGTTCAGCCTGGAGAAGAGAAGGCTCCAGGGAGACCTAATTGCGGCCTTCGAGTACCTGAAGGAGGCCTGCAGGAAAGATGGGGAGGGACAGTTTACAAGGGCATGTAGTGACAGGACAAGGGGTAATGACCTTAAACTGAAAGAGCAGAGATTCAGATTAGATTTAGGGAAGAAATTCTTCACTGTGAGGGTGGTGAGGCACTGCACAGGTTGCCCAGAAAAGTTGTGGATGCCCCCTCCCTGGAAGTGTTCAAAGCCAGCTTGGATGGGGCTTTGGGCAACCTGTTCTAGTAGAGGGTGTCCCTGCCCACGGTAGGGGGGTGGAACTAGATGATCTTTAAGTGCTCTTCTAACCCAAACCATTCGATTCTATTCTGGATACAGTTGTGGTTACTTGGATAGTTCAGTTCATGATGTTACTACTTCCAGGTTGTACAAAGTTACCTCATCAGCTATTGATAAATCAGTTCCAAAATGGCAGTGTGAATGACAATATTTTGGAGGATTTCCACTTACTTAGAAGTTAAAGGCATATGCATTAAGATACATGAGCTATTAAGATGGATGGAAAAGGGAGTTTGGCATTTGACACTTATTTTATATTTCAATGTAAATGTGTTTTGATTACTAGAAACTACTCAGATGCTGTTGTAAAAAATCAGGTTTAAGTATCACTTCTGGTCTCTTTGGAGACTGGTGCTTTGGTACTGACAAATGGTGGTTTGTGGGTTTCTGGTTTTGTTTGCTTTGAATTTTTTTGTAACTGTGATCTTTAGATAGGTAGATATCACTTCATATTACTGTGGTTATTTTGTTTCTGTTCCAGCTTATTTTATATTCTAAGATGACTGAATCTTCTGTTACTCAGACTTGCAGGCAATATGCGAACTAAAGCACCAGACATATGTTTTGGGTTCTTATTTAATAGTTTTAATTATTTTGCTACCGTGACTGCACTGATGAAGAGGTGTTATGATTGCATCATCTTGCTCCTCTGCAGAGGTCAGCTGAAGCAGGTTTAGATTCTTGGCTTCCTGTGTTTGAAGAAAGCTGAAAACTGACAGCAGACCAGAATGCCTTGACTTTGCTTTTCTGTGTTAGCAGTTTCTGCCCAGATACTTGCTGAAATCTGGTATTAAGTACTGAAAGACTTGTTCTGTTATTTCAGTTTTTGACATAAACATAAAGGTTGGTCATACATGACTGAAAGTCCAATGTCAGGCTTCCCTTTGCCTTCATCAGGGCTGCATGCCTTCTTAAGCTGGTCTCTGATTTTGCCCAGAGCAGCCTGTCTGAATCTTCTCTTCTGATGTGTGACGTGGCAGTCTCCTCCTCAGAACTCTATTCCTTTCTATTTACAGAAGCAATAGCAGTTGTTTCTCTCTAGCCTTCCATCAAACATAGCTGTGTTGTAAACTGGAGTGTTCACAAGTCCTTGTAGCAACAAAAATTACCTGAGAGAATTTCTGAGTAAACTAGTCATGATACTCAAAAGGGGTGTTTATATTTTCTTGATTGGTTGGGCACAGGATTTTCTGAAAACCATTTATTACTTCCTTTTGGCAGAGATGGTTCCATTTGTAGGTCTTAACCATTCAGGTGGTAAGTGACAACTCCTACACCATAACCCCCTAGGTAGGAAACACAATTGTGCAGCATTTTCAGTGTTTCACATTTCCTTAAAATTTTCCTGTACCCCTAAATTTCATTCAAGGGAGATGCATAGTTGGTGAATTATAGGAATCTAGTTGGGAAGGCTGGGGAATCAGGACTTCAGGGTGTGCTGTGTGTGGAGTACAGCATCTTCTTGGAGTAGCTGGAGTGTGTGCCATGGAGCCAGGACTGGGGGATGTACCACAGAGCACCACTCAAAACGCTGCCCTGCAGATCTGCAACTTCCTTTGTGGATTGTGGAAAGAACCTAACTACTTACGGATAGTTCCTGTTGAGGAGGTTGCTACCAGGGTTGTTTAGTAGAAAACCTTGAATAGTGTGGCTTACTGCAAGAATGTCTTTCCTCCTGAGAAGTACATGTACGAGACCTTGTTGGCTGATTAGATTTATCATTTAATAGTTGCCTGTTTAACTCAAGATTTTGGCCGTTCACACAGACCAAAATAAATGCATGCAGTGACACTGAATTGGAAATTTAAAGAACTTTCTTGACTGGCACAGTTAAACAGGGCTTCAAAGTAGCTCTCATACAGTTTTTTTCTTAGGATTTAGATTTCCTTGTGGAGGAAGAATTGGAAGGAAATTACTTCAGACCACTGTATTTTATAGTGGGGAGAAATGAATAGCTTAGTGTTAGTTTGTTCATTCTCCAGTTCCTTATAAATCTCCCCCCCTCTATTTTTCAATCTGCTTTCTCCTGGCAGAGAGTACCATAATTCAAAATACACATCATTTACTGGGAAGATTATCAAGTTGGAATGAAATTCCCCTTAACTTTATGCTAATCGAGTAATCATTGATTATTTGAATGTGCCTTTTAAAGCTTCAAGTGGGTAAATCAACTCATCATACTAAGAAAAGTGAAGCTGGAAAGTCTTTGAGATAGAAATTGCTCAACAGAAGAATTCCATGGTTAATAAATCTGAAAGATGTTTCTCTATGTATAGCAAAGATGGAGTCCCTATAGAGATCTCTTCTACCGCCTGTGAACACAAGTAATTAGATATTTCCTACTCAAATTGTGTATCATGTAGGTTATTAGCAGAATTTCATCAGTGGCAGCAAGAGAATTTAAGGCAAAAAGAAATTGGGTTGTAATAATGTTTAACGAAGAGACAAGTCATGTCAGGCACTCCAAAGTGAGTGACCGATGATTTTGATACAGCTTTTGTTTGCATTTAGTAATCATACGATACCTCTCTTCCATCTCCTCAAAGCCTTGTCTGTGTGACAGTTGTCTTTAGGACCTCCTTAAAGGCTTAGTTTTACCCAAATGAAAAGTCATAGAGCAGATAATCTCAATGCTTAGGCCTTTTGCATCTGTCCCCATCAGACTGCACAGAAAAATCTCCAGTATTCCTAGGATTTATCATGTTGGCATTTGTACAGGCTACGTGGGGATGATAACTCTTACACTTTTTTCCATGTTAATTGTTCAGATATTTTGATAATTACGTTGCTTTCCTAACTCTTTGTCCTAAGGAGCCTGGTTTACTTTAATCCATCAATGGGTAGCAGTTTAGTCCAACAATAAATTATCATCTTTTGTACAAAATAAAAAAAACCCTAATTTTTGCAGCAGGTTTGAGGACTAGAAATGAGCACAATTCAAGAATTTTTCTAGAAAGTATATTTAAAACCACGGAAATATATAGGACCTCCCCCAGTATTTTTTCTGTCATATAAAGGAAAATGTTGATGGTCCCTGTAGTCTGAACAGTCAAGGGACAGTAATTGATCCAGAAAGTAAATCTTGTTTGATGGTCCTGTAGGGGTTTTTAAATAACATTTAGCCTTCACAATAACTTAAGATCCCTTTATCCTCTCTAAAGAGATGTTTACAAATGACTTCATATGTAGAATAATAGAATGCTAAAATTTGTGACAATGAATAAAAATACAGTACTGAAATTACTTTTAAAAGCTGGATACAATTGGAGTTTTCTGATAGCTTTTGATTACATGTTTTATAAGCATTACAGGTTCCATTGTAGCCTTCCCTTTTTCTTACTGTGAAGTCACAGCTGTCTCAAGATAAGTAATACATTGTCCTGGTAACCGTTCTGTCAAAAGGTTATACTACTATAGAGGAAAGCAGAGATTACAAACAGATTAAAATATTAAGAGTCATAATTGAAAGATACTCTATAACACCAAGTTGTTATTTTTTACCTGTAAAATAACAATATGCTACTGGTTATGAAGGTTTTTTACTCCTTACAAAGCTAAAAATACTTGTAATATTTGATACTGCAATACAGTAATTTGATTATTGCCTGTTTTTCAAGTCCTGGGAAAATTGTTTGAAATTTCCTCCTGCTCATTTCATCAGTTCCTTTCTAATAACTGCATCAATTCTGAGACCCTTCCCTCTCAATGTTCCAATTCGTATCCCTTTTCCACCTGTGTTCCCTGGATTTGCTTTTGCAAAACGAAGGAGTTTTGTCTTTTCAGAGCGGGAAGGTCACAGGAAGTGATTCAGGAGGTGTCATTGATCTTACACTGGATGAAGAGGATGATGGCTCTTCTCAAGGTAGGTGAGAAAGATTTTGCTAGCTGCAGGAGTAATTGAGCTACAAGTATTATTTCATCCCTTGAATGACAGAAAGGAATAAACTTCTGTTTCTGCATAGTGCATTGTATTCCTTGGTGTTTCATTTAAACAGGACTATTATTAAAGAATTCTGACAGGCATTAAATAAAAGGAATTCTACTTACTGTAAAACAGTCTTTAAGATTGTTACCTTTCCCTTAATTGAAGTATTGTTGCTGTCTGTGCTTAAATCTGTTAGGCTTGTGGAATAATTTGAGATGTTTGAATTCTTTATTATAATTTTGAAAGTTCTTCTAGATGTAAACTTTTCTGTTTACTGATTAATTAAAGACCTTTTAAGGTATTCAGGCATTAGGTTATTACAGCTTCTAATCTTTTTGTTAACTGAAAAACTTTGTGTGCAAGAGTTTAGACACCAAATGTAGATCTGTGCTTTGGGGCTGTATGCCAAGATTAGAGTAAATATAGTTGTGCTCTTAATATCCTTTGGCAGTGTGGATGCACTTCATCTTTTAAAAGAATATCATTTTCCTAAGTCTTGCATAACTGTGGGTAGGTCTAATTATAATTAGGATTCAATTAGCAAAGAATTATAGTATTTCAGAGAAGTAATAAGAGTCTGTACTTAAGACTATTGCACTGCCATCTTAACTGAAAAATTGGTATTTCTACTATTAGAGATAAAATTTTAATTCTGCATGGTCTCTAAATGCGTGCTCCTACGCTGCATTCTGACGTCCAGCCTCTACAAAACCTCAGTAGCTAACTCTAAGTAGTGTGTTGAAGTTCTACACGTATATTCTTAATTTTTTGCACAAATGTAGAAAATCATTCTGGGATGTGGTAGCATTTCTTTCAGTGAGGGAGAAATGGAATGTTACCACCAAAAGGAGTTAATGTGGTACACAAGTATTAGAGAAGCATTATGTCATTCAGATAACTGACAGTCTGGTTCTTTTATCAGCAGAAGCTATATGGCAGACACGGAATTGAGTATGAGCCAACAGTGTTTTCTCATTTAAATTTAAGTAACTCTTCCACTCACATTGACACTAGTGGGACCACACCTGAAATACAGTGTCGTTTTGGCTCCCCCTTCCTTGAGTTCAGAAGAGTGTGGTAGCACTGGAGAAGGCCCAGTAGATGGTGTCAGGATGGTGGGGGCCATGACCTATGAGAAGAGATTGACAAACCATGGCATGTAGGGCAAAGAGCAAACAGAGACAACGTAATAGCATCCTACAACTACTTGAAGGATAGTTACAAAGATGGTGGAACACAACTCTTCTCAGCAGTGCCAGATGATATATCAAGGGGCAGTGGCCATGAACTACAAGTTCAGGAGGTTCAGGTTGAGCTTGGGGGACAAAGAAGTCAAGAGTAGGAAGGTAGCACAGCACAGGGGAACATTAGAAACTCCATCCTTGCATGGTCTCAAGATTCAGCTGGGCAAAACTGCAACTCATTTGATTTAGTGTTGGTGATAGTCCAGCTTCAACAAGAGGTCAGACTACATGATCACCAGAGGTCCTTTCCAGCCAGGATTTTGATGACTCTGTGAATCACTTAGCTGAGTGTCAGAATAGCATAGGGAATCAAGTTTTTACCACTGTCATCCCTTCTGAGGGTTAGTTCTCAAAAAGATAAAGAAGGTGGTCGCATTTGGACTGTGGAACTCTGTTCAGGTAAGGTTAAGCTACCCAGTCCTATTTAATATTCTGTAAAAGACACCAACAGATCTAAATGGATTTATGGTATGTTTTAAAGTGGCATGTCACAGTATTGTATTTCAGCTAATCTTTTTCTATCAAAAGTAACATTTTTCAGAGAGTTTTCCCCTCCCTGACTGGATAAAGTATGTCCTTGCCTCACAATTACTATAAAAGATCAACACTATGGTTGCACGTGCAACTGTAAGAATGCTTCTCTAATAGAAGTGCTAGCAGCCACGGCAGAGTCATAGTTGCATTACAATATAGTAACTTAATTGTTTCTCGATTTCTTTTTTTTGGGCTTGACCCAGTATCTTTCAGTTTTTTCCTGTGGGATATTCTGAGATTCTTTCCCCTTAATTGTTCAATTTTAGAAGAATAATCCTTTCATTAGGAGGAAGGTTAGGGGGTACTTTCAAGCTGGGTTAGCTCATGTGTGTCTCTTCACTGCAAAGCAGAAGTGAGACTCTCACTGCTAGTCTGCAGCCTTGCAGATTAGTTTATGTTTAGAGTTTGTCTGAGGAGTCAGTATTTTTCATACAAGCTATAGAAATGTATGGACTAAAACCCTAATAAAAGCTTGAGTTTCACCACGCAGTCAAAACACATCTCTAGGATTTTGAGCAAGTTTCCTGGGAAAGAATTCAAGTGTTCTGATAATAACATTCAGGTTAAAAAGACGAAATGTACACTTCTGACAGCTTTTGCATAATCGTATGCGTGTATATACCTGTGGCCAAATATTTTTTCCACTGCATTTTGTTTACAGCAAATGTGGAGTGAGTTACATTTTGTTCTAGATTTATTAGTACACAACCTCAGGATAGAAAGTACCTCCCAGCATTATGGTGTTTACTATAGTATCCTCAAATATCAGTTCAGTACTAATTCAAATAGAAGAGCAACACTTACACGGTGTTCTTGGGAACGCTCAGATCCTGATTATTTTGTTTAAAGCGCTGTCACCCGCATACTAAGTAAACCTAATTCTGTTACTTCTGAAAGGTATTTGAAGAGATGTTAATATCTGCAGCAAGATGTCTATCATGTGCTTCCCTTTAAACCTTTCCTGGTATAACTAGGAAACAAAGTTAGGCTATTTTGGAAATAGACAACTACAATGTGTGTCCTTGTTGGTCGAAATTTCTAAAGATTCATGTTGAGAGTAAATTTAAACATTGTGGTAGATTTTTAAACTTGTTTGTGTAATCTACTCTCTATCCTTTCCTTTTTCCAATGAAATTTCCATTTAGATCAATAAGTAACATTAAAATGTATAATACTGTATACCAAAGTATGCGTATAGGGTAAATTAGACTTAAAACTCTAGGTTAAGAACTATGGAAATTTTAGGCGTTTTGTTAGGTTATTAAACTGAAATCAGAGTTTCTGTATTGGGTTATGGAAGAGCAGACCTGTATAGACTGGACTTGATGACAGTCTTCAGTCATGGTAGATAGACAAAACACTGTGCATTATTTTTAAGGGCTAATCATGTTTTGAGGGTGAGGGATTTTTGTTTGGTTGGGGTTTTGGGTGAGGTTTTTAGTTGGGGTTTTTTTTTGTGTCATAGTGACTAGGATCTCTACTCGTGTGCTTGAGCCACTGGGTTTGGACACAGTACTCCAACAGAATAGAGTAGCTGTCTTTCAACACCTGTTGGTTTGGCATTTTGAAACCCCACTCCTCTATCAACACAGAAATGTATCTCTAACTTCCAACCCCTTTCTTACATATAGCAATTTGCATTCAAATAGTGCTTCGTATAGGGAAAAAAAAAGTATTACCATCACACTGTGGAAACACTCAACCCATAGAGCCTAGATTTGCACTTTCTTTTTTACTTCATCAGACAAGCAACATTCTGTAATGAACAAAATACGCAGGTTTTCCTGATCATCTTGGCTGCCCCACACATGATTTCCTACATTAATAGCAGAAGTTCTTACCAGTTCCTAAATGGCTGATGTTGCACTGTCTACTATCATCTTTTTTTCTAGTTCTCAAGTCAAGGGTATGGAATATCCCTTTCGCCAGTCTGGATCAGCTGTCCTGGCTGTGCCCCCTCCCAGCTTCTTGTGCACCTCCAGCCTTCTCACTGGCGGGGCATGAGAAGCTGGAAAGTCCTTGACTGAGTTGTAAGCACTACTTAGCAACAACTAAAACATCAGTATGTTACCAACATTATTCTCATCCTAAATCCAAAACACAGCACTGTACCAGCTGCTAGGAAGAAAATTCATTCTATCCCAGCCAAAACCAGGACAGTATATTTAATTGATAGTTTCTAATTGTGTTCTTCAGTATATTGTTGATATGTTTTCTCAAGAGTAAAGTATGTATTAACATATTTTTTACTTTTATATAGTGTGCTCTTTTAGTAAATTAGTGGCTGCTGCATGGACAATTTTATTAGGGCAAATTTTTTTTGAATGATTGCCCTTAAAACCTACTCTTTTATTTGTGGATTTAGTTTTTGGTGATGTCGTCTTTGCCCACTACTACTCTCTAATCAGGTTGAATAACTAAGGCAAAAGCTTCTCAATTCTTCTTTATTCAACTTGTGCACAGGCTTGATTACATACAGACTTGCACTAAAATGAATATTTTATGTTGTCACAAATAAACTAAAGCAGGAAAAAACAGTGCTGTAGTAAACTACAGATACAGACGCTATTTGTCACTTCTCACAAGTCAGTAAGTCATGTTGAGGAGGGTGTCAATGTGAGAAAACAAATTCTCTTTTTAAAGTCTTCTATAAATAATAAAGCAATTCCCCTTTTTAAAGAAAATAACATGAACATTCAAACCAGCAACAAACAAGGCTGACTAACAGATTCAACAAAGGAAATAGTCAGCAAATAACAAAAGGATATAAGCATCGAAGGTAGACAAGATTTATTTAGGGAGCTCTATCACTTTTTTTTGGAACAAATTGAGTACAACAGTGTTTAGGCCTTTTTAAGGTTTTAGGCTATTCTTTTCTTAATAGAAACTTTTACAGGCTTTGGTATTAAATGTGTTCCATTAAATTCAGGCTTCCAAATTATGCTGAAATAGGCAGACTTCGTGATAGAATGAAACATGGAGTATGGGGGGGAAAAGATTGAGCTGATGAAAGTGAGTGGAGTTGAATTAATTTTCTACAGTTTTGTTTGCAGAATGAAAAGATCAAAGAAGTGTCATGCTAGGAAATATTCTTTGCTAATCTGTGAATGATGGGGGAGAGAGATTTAAAAATTCTGAGATGTTCTAATTTCTGTTTGCTATTGTCTATAATTTTATTTTGTTTTAAAGCAGATGGCAAGAAGCAGAACCAGACATCTGTTACAGGATTGAGCATACCCACCCAGCCCTTGACTCGACCCTTGCAGCCTTTGCAGCCAAACCCAGTGCAGCAGACAGGTGTGCCAACGAGTGGACCTTCCCAGACCACCATACATGTGATACCTACAGGTAACTTCATTTTACATCATTATGTGATGGCAGTGACTGCTTTTTTGTTGTTGTTGTTAAACTAGACTCTTGTGTGTTCTACATTGTGCTAATATTTTCAGGTGAATATTCAGAGTGTTTGAGTCACTTTTTAATCTTCAACTCTAGTCAGTTTCCCATAACTTTGTTTTTTTCAAAAATGATGAAGTAAAGGGAAAGATAGTCCAGTTGGTTTGGAAAGAATTCAGGATCAAATTAATTCCATGGAGAGGAAGAAATGCTGCTAGGATGGTTGTGGAAATTATTAAATATAGTGTTGTTTGTAAAAGTGAAGGAGGAGAAACCTGTAGTAATGCATTATTTAAGTAATGGGGGGAAAGAAAACATTAGCAACATCACTCGTAGATCTCTCCACCTGCACCTGGCAATTAGTCCTTTTGACAGAGTGAATGGCAAGGCTGACATTGAAGTTCCATCCCTAGTTAAATGTTATTTTGTCTGCAGTGTGATTTTTTTTTTTTTCCTTTCTAACATAAAGAAACATAGATGCTCTTCTTTTTCTTTATTTTACTCTGTTCTTCTGTAGATGATTGTTAAAGATTAGTTGGCTTTGGAATTGTCTTATGATTGATCTGTTCTACAGACTCTTTGGTTGGTTTTATATTCTCCACACCTGTGCTTACATACAGAACCCTTTTTTTTTGGGGGGGGGGGCAGGGGAGGGGAGGTATTAAGTTTATCTTTTCTGTTTGAAAAATGTATATATATTGCATTGTTCTTTCAGGTGAAAATTACTGTTAGTTTAGGCTGTTTTCTTGCATTATCAAAAGCAGAGAGGATTTAAGAGACTGTTTTTATTTTCCATGGCTCAGATGAGTCAGTTTTCCAAAGGAGGTGTGTACTCTGGAATAGGCATATCAGCTTAATGTTGTGGAATTCCATTCTAGCTTGTGGCCTCTTTTTTTCCAGCTCCAACAACAGTGAATGTGACTCATCGGCCAGTGACTCAAACTGCTGCAAAACTTCCTATACCAAGAGCCCCTGCTAACCATCAGGTGGTCTACACCACTCTTCCTGCACCACCAGCGCAGAATCCTGTACGGGGAGCTGTGATGCCAAGCCCTGGTTTAAGGCCAGTCAACCCGCAGACTGGAGGTAGGGGATGCTTGCCTTATGAGAAGCAGCTGAGGGAAGTGGGGTTGTTTACCCTGGAGAAAAGGAGACTGAGGGGAGACCTTATTGCTCTCTCCAACTACCTGAAAGGAGGCTGTAGCCAGGTGGGTGTCAGTCTCTTTCCTCAAATAGCAAGTGACAGGACAAGAGGAGACGGCCTCAGATTGTGCCAGGGGAGCTTTAGATTGGTTCTTCGGGAAAATTTCTTCACTGACAGGGTTATCAAGCCCTGGAACAGGCTGCCCAGAGAAGTGGTTGAGACACCATCCCAGGAGGTATTTAGAAGACGTGTAGATGCAGCGCTTAGGGACATGGTTTAGTGGTAGACTTGGCCCTGTTAGCTTTATGGTTGGACTCAATCTTCAAGGTCCTTTCCACCCTACATGATTCTATGATTCTATGCACATTTTAGCATGACACAGCTTAGGATGTTCTACCTGATGGATGTGGGGTTTGGTGGTTGGTTTTTTTGTTTTGGGTTAATTCCTTGGATTTTTACAATACAGTCCTAATTATAGAGGTTAGGTATTTCATTTCCAGTTTACAGACTTGAGAAAATATCAAGCTATTAAGAAATCATTCCCCCTGCAGCTATGTGAATGAGGAAAAACTGGATCAAAGTCATTTCAGGCACTAACTCTGCCAATTAAGCATCTCTGGATGACATGCCCAATACTTTACAAGGTAGCAGAAGGTACTGTGATGAGCACCACTGTTTTGTAGAAAGATAGACACCATTTTGTTATTATGGAGTAAGATTAAAACATTTAAGTATGTAGTAAATCTTGTTTGATTTCCTGTCTAAAAGTTATGTTTATAGCAGACATCCTAATGTTGCTCCTTAACAATCTCTGATGTCTTATGCCCAGCAAATTTTCTTATATTCTCTAGGCCTGGACAAATGAAATTTCTCACAAAATGTATTCAGAAATTGATGCATGCTTGAGTTTCCTTGACAGGAGATGTCAGCAAGTTCATCTTGACTTTGCAAAGTCATAACTGGTATCTTCCTATAGCAGCAAACACATTTTCTGAAATTAGTAGTAGGTGTCAAAAATAACCTTAAAGTTATGTGATAGTTTATATTTTGTAACTAAGTGGTGGTTCTTAACTATCTTTTTTTAGCTCCCTACAATTTCTACACTATGGTTATTTTAACACCATTATGTTAAACATAAATTTCCCTGTTCTGGTGCACTGAGTATGAGCCTACTTTTGTGACATCCAGGTAGTGATGTTTTTATACACCGTCTGTGTAAGCCAGACTCTGAACACTGCATGCTTGAGCCTTGTAAGACTGTACCTATGTAGGTTTGTGCAGATATAATTGATTCATTGTTCTGAAATTACAGTTTTTGGAAAGGAGAATATCTGTGTATGTTTGTAGCAATTGAATTCTAAATATCTCTTATGACTGGATTCAGCTGCATTGCCATAGCCTGTGAAAAATCAGCTGTGCTAGCTAAACAGAAGTTGATCAGACAGTTCTTGAGCTATCCCTGTGAAATGTCAGGGTGTCAGGAAATTGCTGTTCTTTTCAGAGTACCTGTTCGTATTTCTTAAACTTCTTACAGTCTTGTGCCATGTGCATTTGAGTTCAAGTTTTTCTGACCAGCAGTATCTTTTGAGGGGCATTTCTGCATCTCGCGTTCCTGTTGGCAAAAGGCCATAAAAGACAAGGTAACCTCAGCCCATGCTTAGTTTTCTTTGTCATTACCCTTAGCTACAAGTTAGATGTGTCTGGTCTACCTGTTGTTTTGGAAGGAGTTCTGAGTACTTAACCATGCGTTCACTTATGTTAATTATTTTAAATAGTATTTTCTTCTTTTGTACCAAAATATAAAATACATGTTTTTGTCAGAATCTACCACTTAGAGCAGTTGTTCTGACTAAATACACATCATTAGTATTAACATCTACAGAATATCTTTTAGTGTTAGACATGCAAGATAATTAATGTGTTGTTTAAGGACATATGCTAGGTAATATGCTATTTTAAGGCCTTTTCTAGGAGAAGTCAATGAGGTAGGGAGTTCATATGTTTTTCAGGCAAGGTCACCCAACAGCAGATCTCTGTGTAATGTGCTTCTGACCTGTTGATCCAGTGATACAATGAATGCTTATCCTTCAGGTGTCTGCTTACAAATTCTCAGAAATTGAGGCAGGTTTCCACCAAAATAATTAAGGTTCACCTTGACCAGACCCTGAATAACTAAATCTAAGAGCATACATTCAACAGAAGGCTGGGCCAGATCATCTCCTAAGGTCCCTTCAAACCTGGACTTCTCTGTGATTCTGTTAGAGGCAGTTCTGTTACTCTGGCTTGAAAAGTATGTCTGTGTATTATACAGTACTGTTGTCTGACAAGCCACATAAGATGTAAGAAAATGACAGTTCCTCCATAGCGTTGTGTATTCCCTCTACCTCAGGACAAGGAAGCCAGATGGTTAACCGGAGTAGATAAAAGACTAGTTTAGTTAGAATACAGATTATGTCAAGGCTTCATATTTGCACACCAGGTAGAGAGGTTTCACATATCGTTAACAAGAATCGTGTTTCTTGATCCCTTTTAGCTGTCCTGAGTTTTCTGTCTTTTAGTCCATTCTGCATTTTTCACCATCTTTGTTAGACAGATTTCAGAAAGGCTGCTACTTGTGTATTGGTTTATATTATCATTGCAACAGTCTTTAGTGTCAGTAGCAGATGCTTCAGGAGTAAGATCTCTGCACTTTGAAAGTTTAACTGTGAGAACTCATGTGAAGTGTTTTGTAAATTGTAGTTTTGTACTTCTACCTCAATCGAGTAGTATGCCTACCTAGAAATAATGCTAAATGTGTACCTTATATCCTGTTAAGGCATTCCTCTCTGTCTTCAGATTATTCTGAAGAACTATCTAAGAAATAATTTCCTGAGGTAGAATACTAAAACAGCATATCTGATTGGATTCTCATAGATGACAAATAGCCAGTTCAGGTGACTGTTTATCCTACAGGAATTTGCACAGCTTCATTAGCTTCTTAGATAGATGTGCCAATAGGAAGATAATGTGAAGCAGCTACCTAGAGTTCAGCACTTTATACTAAAAGCATTAAGATGTAGCACTCTGAGCTCCCTGCCTCAGACTCACAGATTACATAGACTTCTGACACTCATCACCTATGATCATAGCTTGATGACAGTTTATATAGAGAAGAAGTTACCATAGAGTAGCTGTAGTTTCGTGACGTGTCACTCTGTGAGCTTCTCTTCTGGAGTATTAGAATGCTTCGATCTCATACAGGTGTGGAACTAGGGGCTGGTGGAGATTGTCCCAAATCATCTATTTCTAGACGTAAATAGAGGGACACCCTAGGCAACCCATAACAATGAGCAAAAACTTTGAGCTCACAGAACATACATGTTCCGACAGTAAACAGACAAAATGTTACGTAAGAGAGTGAGATGTAGTATAAAATGAATGAAAACTTGGTAGTTTGCAAGAGTTCTGGGTATTATCTACAAGGCTGTAAAATTACCTAGTTTATTCCCGTCAGTCAGGTCAGTTTGCTGTGGGAATGAATGAAATGGTAATGCTTGTGAGTAACATCTGTTATAGCGTCTGTTCTGTGATGGAGGACAAGCTTCTTGGACAAGGACGTAATTTTTCTGTTTTCAGTGCACAGCCTTCTGGCATTTGAATACTGAGTGGATATCATTCTGCTGCAGCAGCATTTATCTTTTCCTTTCTGAATCACAAAGTGATGCAATTTTTCTTTTCGTGCTTAAGCTCCCTGTATCTCCCACACTTCCTCTTCCCCTCCCCTCCCATTTCTTTCATACTACAAATTATGAAAACATCATTCTGTCCCCTCTGCAGACATAAGCACTTGCTCTCTTTCACTTCTACAGCTTCAGGGGACGGGAGGTGGTTTTGTTGTTGTGCAGTACTTTATCACTCTACTGGCAAGTTCAGGAGAGTGTGTCAGTTTGAAATTTGGTGTCATCCAACTGAACGAAGGAGTTGGTCTTCCAGTGTTCTGTGTAGCTGATTTTAAGACTGAATACTCAAAAGCATTCACTGTGCTTCTTACAGGTATGGCAGTACGAATGCCTCAAACAACTGCATATGTCGTGAACAACGGACTAACTCTTGGGTCTGGAGCACCTCAGCTTACAGTGCATCATCGGCCACCACAGGTGCATGCTGTGAGTAGCCATTTTGAAATTGCTTAATGCAGTTTACAGGCTTGTCTCTGCATTAATGTCTTTCAGATTGCAGAGTAGTGAAATGCCTTGTAGACACTTTGCAGCCAGTTCACGTGCGTAGCATCACCCTAACACCTACTGCAACTTCTGTCAAGAATGGTAAAAGCTATGCAATCTGTTAGCTTACCCCAGAGTTCTCCAGATCATCAGTAGCACGTATTGAAAAATGGTGCATGAATTGTCTGCAGGTGACTTGTGAAGAGTACAGAAGAACTGCCACTAAAAAGTTTATTCATGGTTTGGCTACAAATTGGATGACCAGTTTCTCAGTACAGCTGTTTGCAAAACTGAGGTAGGAGAACGAGGTACAAACAAGATCCTCAAGGTTGCCAACTCCCAAGTTTCAGGGGGGTTTTTTGTCACTGTTGGGGGTGATTACTTCTGTATCACCTCAAACCTCCTTTTGTAAGTATTTGAGAATTTACTCTGACTCGTTTTACTTGGTTTTGTTGTGGAGACTGAACCAAATACATTGCCTGCATACTCACTGTTGGGCAGTCACATCACTTGTGATGTCCTGAAATGGTAACTATATTACTAACAGGGTGGCTCACCGTTCTTTCAGTGTAGACACCATTCAACTTCATGCATTCTCCAGTGATAAATATTGAGCATAAATCAAGCCAGTATCACATGGAACACTTACGATGACATAAACTATCCCAGATTCCAACTTGAAAGGCCTCTAGCTCGAAGAATTACAAAATTTTGTACTTACTGTAACCACACTCCTAAATTCATCTAGAAGAGACCATTCATCTAGAGAGACCTAGGACCATTTCTGTGGTATAAAAAAAAAAATCAATGGAAAGCCACATTTGTGTCCTTACTTCAAAATTTTCTGGAAACTGAGGCTCAGCTTTTGTGATCAATTTAAGGAGATAAAATCCATGTGGCACCATGTCGCAGTTTAACCTGGTTGGGAGCTAAAACAACCGCACAGCCGTTTGCCCACTCCCCTCCCTCTACTGGGATGGGAGAGAGAATCAAAAAGGAAAAAAGGAAAGATTCGTGGGCTGAGATAAAGACAGTTTAGTAGGACAGAAAAGGAAGACAGTAATAATAATGATAAAAGAATATACGAGGCAAGTGATGCACAGCACAATTGCTCACCAACCAAAGCTGATAGCTCGATCTTGAGCTGAACTGCCTCCTCCCCAACCCCTCTGGTTATATAGGGAGTGTGACATTACATGGTATGGAATATCCCTTTGGCCAGTCTGGGTCAGCTGTCCTGGCTGTGTCCCCTCCCAGCTTCTTGGGCACCCCCCACCTTCTCGTTGGCAGGCCAGTATGAGAAGCTGAAAAGTCCTTGACTGCTTGGCAACAACTAAAAACATTGGTGTGTTATCAGCATTCTTCTCATCCTAAATCCAAAACACAACACTAACCAGCTGCTAGGAAGAAAGTTAACTCTATTCCTCCTGAAACCATTACCCATTCTTCCTTTTGTGACTGAAAACCCATCTGTTGAGAAGATGCTGAGTTGTCAGCTTAATCCACTCCCTGCCTGGGGTGTTTTGGGTAATGTGGGAACAGCAGCTCAAATGTAGATTAGCTCAAAGTCATTGTGACCTGTCTGCTCAATCTTGGTAAAGGGCATCACCTCTTGAGTGGGAAGCAAAGAGGATATAGGGAGTTAACTGTGGCAATGATCATCTGTACAGTTAGGGATTTATATGTGAATAATGAGAACTTACAGCATCTTTGGTCCCACCCCTTCTCAACCTTTGCTGCTGCTCTTTTGCCTCTGCACACAGGACTTAGAGTTGTGATGGCTGGGGTGATTGCAGGCTCGTTTGCTTCTGTTTGCCTGGGGAATGATGAATTAAAGTCTCCTTTCACTGCTGTAGCCTCTGACCTTCTTGCTCTCACGTTGCTTAGGAGCCACCACGCCCTGTACATCCTGCCCCACTCCCGGAGGCACCACAGCCACCACGTCTGCCCCCTGAAGCTGCCAACACTTCTCTGCCTCAAAAGCCACAGCTGAAGCTGGCGCGGGTACAGAGCCAGAATGGTATTGTGCTGTCATGGAGCGTCATGGAGGTGGACCGGAGCTGTGCCACTGTGGACAGTTACCATCTCTACGCCTACCACGAGGACCCGAGTGCCACTATGCCCTCCCAGTGGAAGAAGATTGGGGAAGTGAAGGCGCTCCCACTACCTATGGCATGCACTCTTACACAGTTTGTGTCTGGCAGCAAATATTACTTTGCAGTCCGGGCTAAGGACATCTATGGACGTTTTGGACCCTTCTGTGACCCCCAGTCCACAGATGTGATCTCCTCCCAGAGCAGTTAAACTAGAGATCTTTGGAGCCTTTAAACCTGTCCTACTACCAAGAATTACCCCAGTTTTGGGGGGTTGATCCCATGCATGAAATTCACTTTTAAATCCACTCTCTGCAGGATTATTTTAGACAGTTGTGTGATACACTACATGCATTCAGAACCAAAAGAAAAATAAAGTCTCACCTGCAGCAAGAGCGCCTGTTTTTTCTGGATAGCTCAAGTCATGGGCCAATTGCAAAAATTCATTTTTCCTTCCATGACAGCTGTTTCACCTAGATACCTACCTACCCTTTATTCAAGGGCAGCCCGAATGCCTGGGATTCTGCTTCAGAGTGGGAACAAAATAATAAATTACAGTTTGTCTGAAGCAAAACATATACATCTGTAACTTCTATCAATGCACTAACATGAGGGCGAGAACAGATTTGCTTCTTGCCCCCCCACCACTCTGAGCAGGCTGTGATATGGAGGGAGATTCAAGGTCTCACTTTCGTACTGGAAGATTGAGTGATCTGGTCTTATTTTACAAACTGTAATGAGCTCTCTGAGGGGAGGGACGGGAACTTGAGTCCGGCCAGGGAACCAATATGTGTGTAAATTTTGAGGTGGTGGAAAAAATTAATAAATCGCCCTACTACCTCCTATCTTTTCTAATTAAGAATGCTCCTCTACTTTCACCATCCTCCCCCGCTCACACTGGGAGCATCCCCAGTTCAGATCTGAAACTGGATTGTAGAGACTGCATTCACACCTCTCTAGCTCAGATAATTTCTCTGCCCCTCCCCTTATACATTCAGCCCTATTTTTTAGATTTATTTTGTGCCTTAAAGAATAATTTCAGAAATAAATGTAGCCAGATACCTTGTGGTGTTCTTTTATTTGCTTGGAGTTACTTTCCCCTTTACCCTTCTAGCCTTTCATTACTGCTTCTCATTTTCCTGGCCTGCAGTAATTATTATTTCTGTACAGACCAGGAAGTGTAACATCTGCTGACGCTGGATTTGTTTTCATCTGCAGTATCATTCAACCCTTTCCTCACTGTAATTCTTGAGTAGTTGTTTTTGTCCTGTCAAGAATATTAGAGTATACAGACAGTATTTTCCACCAGAGCCTTTCCCTGTTCTTTTGGGAAAGCTGTATGCTGCAGTTCAGCCAAAGAAGAAACCTCTGTGGGGTGGCACCATGAAAGCTTCTAGCTCTTTGAACTCAGTCTGGATGTTCTGTTAGTACAAAAAGATAACAGGTTGGCTTCCCAGTCCTTTTTATGTCATCGCCTGCCTGCCTGTGCAGAAAGCCAACGCGCCCAAAGCAGTTTAGAAACTGTTTTAGACACTGGCCTAAAATGTGTGAGCAATGGCAAATGGTTAAATAGATGCTTTCATGATGCTTCTGAGCTGAGAAAAGAAATTGGTGCATCGGCCCTGCTGTTGTTGACATGTTAAACTTCCTTTCTGCATAACCAAATTGTAACACACCTGCGCAAGAAAGTTTAAGGTTTGTATTTTGGTACTTTGCAGTCTCATTCCTGCCCAGCAGAACCAAACAGTGGATTTAGAAGGGAGTCTGTTTGTTTGTTTGTTTTTTTAAAAATCTCCAGTTTGCCATAGCAAAGCTGTAGAAGGTCACATTTTTTAATTTCACTGCTCTCTTTCTTAAAAACCAACATATTTAAATGTAAAGCAAGGTTGAAAAAGGGCAGGAAAAATTAAATCCCAAAATGTGGCTGGTGAAATATGCTATGAGCTTATGGGTTCTTTAGTTGTGCTCCTTTTGAGAACTTTTACAGTGAAAGAAACTGCATTGTAGACTTTTGTCTATACCACTTTGCTGTGCTCCTTCACGTAGCTGGGATTGTCACTTCTGTCAGGTGAGTAACGAATATTCTCTGTATGGAAACCTGCATTTAAAGTATAGCAGTTTTATTGATTTGGGCGAGGACAATTCTGTCTAAATCCAGTATCATGAGAGAAGGTTCACGCTGAATCTCATATATGAATGATGTGTAACCTTTCCTTTGAATAACAGTTGTCCCTGTATTACTGGTGCCAATAATCAATAATGCCTTGAATTTTTCTATGTTTAATTAAATGTTTTGTCTGCCTATTTCAAGGAATAATTATTTAATAATGCATTTAGTCTACTTATGGAAAGTTGGGTCCTTACAAAGCCAGTTCTGTAGTGGAGTTTGGACCAGTTCATTCCAGTTGATGGCTGTCAAGTCCTCCTTGGGCAATTTTTTAAATGTGTCTTTGAGGTGGTACCAAAGGGCCATTGGCCATATCAGTACAATGAGGTTTTATAGTTTGAAAGTTAAAATAAACATTAGAATACAGCCTAGAACTTACGCTGCTTATTTAATTGTGATTCCAGCCCAAACTATGCACGAGCTTTTCTATAGTTTGTGCTTGCGTTTAGGTCACAATTGTTCTTAGCTGTCTTGCTTGGGATAGGTGAGGGATGAGAGTCGTGTTAGAATTTTTTGCTTTCCTCCAATGGAGGTGGTACTAGCGATGATCTGGTATTGTGTTTGGAGGTTTTTGTGGGCTGTATCTCTAGAGAAAGAACACTCATCTTTATTTACTAAAGAAAGATGTAGTTCTCAACTGAACTGATTGTAAAAACTGGCTTCTGGCTTAATCCATTTCTGCTGTGTATGGCAGAGTGCAGTTGATTTTTTTGTGAATAAATAAGCTAGCTACCATTTGTTGACTGAAGCCGTCGCAGCTGTGGGGTGAAAGCTGACTTCTCTTTTGTTTCATCCCAGCAGAGCTGTTAAAGGTCCAATTCCAGGATCTTCAGCAAGTAGTGGTGGCAAAGTATGTGATAAAGCAGGGCTTGACTTTCAAACGCCTAGCTTAGTTTGGAGACCTTAAAGGTGGCTGGTCCATAAATCACGGACACACACAGAGAGAACTGTGCCATTTCTGTGAAATCATTTTCATGGTGGAGCATCTCTCTGCAGTGAGTATTCACCCCTTATGCTAACGAACAGGAGTATTGCTTCATTCTGTAACTCGTGGCGCTTTTCCCTGTGTTATGCTGTGGCTGGTTATTTTATTATCCATTGCCTCCCAGAAACAATAAGACTGAGAAACTAAATCTCTGCTAGCAACAAACATTCAGAAATAATTGATTTCATTTAATAGACCTTAAAGTTAAGTTTTAGCAAAATATCTGGGAGCATTCAGTACAGGTCTGTTAACATGGTGCTACCAGACACAGCTCTTCATAAAAGTGTTGGTTGCTGGAGGCTTCCAATAATCCACTTTTAAATATGCTAAAAATCTCTGTATGGCTTTTAAGCGGAAGGGTTGGGTTTACTTTCTTCACTGCACTTCATGCAAGTTTTTCCATCATATTTTCAGTACCTTGGTGTAAAGTTGTTGCCACTGGGTACATGACATTTCAGCAGCACCACCTTGGACCTAGTTCCCTGTGTTTTAGCAAACACAGCACTGATTCTACAGCTGTGTTTTCCATCCTCATTTACCTTCTGCTTTGTTTTAGGTTTGGTTTGTTTTCTCTCTGTGTTACAAAGGCATCTGGATGTCCAGGTTGGAAGTAATTTGAGTTAGTTCAGTTTCTGGTTGGCAAGGAGCCCTGTGGTGGAGTGCTGATGGCAAAATGCCATTCCTTTCCACCGTTCCTCCAACTTACAGCTTCACTGGCCTCCTTTATTTCAGTATATGTCTAAAAAAGCTTCACTGGATTCAAATAACTAAACCCAAGGAAGGGGGCAGACTGTAGGTTTTAGCATCTGTACTGCATCTGCAGCGGCAGCTCCAGAAAAGGAGACGGTGCAGAGGCAGGTTCCCCTCTGCCTGTATTTATTTCCATGGTCTGCCAGCTTCCCTGGGACTAGCAGTTGGTCTAGGACTTCGATTCTTTGAATTATTTGTGCTACCGTTGGCCATGTGAGATCACTGAGCACAAGCACTGGGACACTCGCCCATCCCAAGGGTTTTAGCACAGGGCTGGAAATGCCCATGGTGTCTTCTCTGTGAAAATAAGGGGTCTTGCCCTGTTCCTTGGAAAACAACAGCAAAACCCCTCGTGCCTTCAGTGGGAGCACGACTGGGCCCAAATAGGATCTGAGCATCATTTTGTACTGTAACAGAAATAGTCACTTCAGCCCTTCCTTTAGGTGTTTGTCTTAAATGTCCAATGAATTAGAATCTGTTTTATATGTAGGGACAGGTCAAATCTGTTCCTTCTCCCCAAACAGCCATTCCCCAGTGTTAAGAGTATTGCATACACTGTACAAAATCAAGCTGTGATTCTGCCGCCTTATAAACTCTTTGAGTATTTTCATTTAGTCAAAAAATATCTATCCAGATTTTTTAAATAGAAGCTTGATATATTAAATAATATATATT